TAGGGTCTCTTTCTAGTGTGGGTTGCAACTGTTTGAGGATTTTCTGTACAGGTTTGTGGGGATGTGTGGGTGTGTGGATGGGTATGGGGTTTGTGGTGGGCTGTGGGATGTGTGGAGGGGAAGGTGGCTGGGTGTGGGTGTGCGTGTGTGGTGGGGTGGGTGCACAGAGCAGAGGTGCACAGGTGAGTGTGTGTAAGGCAGGGTTTGAATTTATGGTGGGGTGTGCGTGGGAGCTGCCTGCACACCCCCCTGAGCTAGTCAGCACCTGCCCCTGTCCCACAACAGCCTGAAGCCCATGTGCCCTGAGGCATCTCCCTGCCACCGCCAACAGTGCACAGCCACGGCCCACCCTGCACCTGCTTTGCACTACCCAGCTGTTCTGCATCCTGCCATCCCTAGCCACACAGTGGGGCTCTGATGCTGGACTGCCTTTTTAGGCAGCCCATGTGGCAGTGGCTCCTTCTGGCTGCTGCTGCAGCTAGCCCCGGCCTCATGGTACCAGCAGGGACCCGTGCACACAGCCCTGACCTGGTGGGCCTTGTGTTTGCTCTGGACTCACCTGCCCAAGCTCAGCAGCTGCAGCAGCAGTGGTGGCTGGGCATAAACTTGCTTGGCATGGGACAAAAGCTGGCTCTTTCTCCTCTCTACTGCTAGATGCTTCCTACTGCAGCCACCTGCAGCCTACGCTGCACTAGGCTGCCCTGTGTCTGTGCTGTCACCACTGCCTGGGCTACCTAGCACCTGCTCTGCATTGTCATCTCTGCCCCACTGGGCAGCCCAGAGGTTGTGCTGATGGCAGTGGAGATGCAGGGCAGCCCAGTATGGTGTGGGTTCCAGGTGGCTGCAGCAGGAAGCTCCTGGGGGCAGGGGCAGGGGGAGGGAGGTGAAAGGGAGGGGCTGTTTTTCCCCCGCACCAAGCAACAGTTTCTGCCTGACTGCCACCACTGCTGCTGCTCATCCCAGAAAGGTAAGTCTGGAACAGGCACGGGGAGCACTGGGTTGCTGGTACCGTGGGGCAGCCAGAAGGAGCTGCCACTGCCTGGCCTGCCTAGAAAGGCAGTCCAGCTGTGGAGCTGCCCCAGCCCCATTGTATGCCTAGGGGGCAGCAGGACACGCCACGGCCAGGTGGCACCTGGGCCAAGCGGGACCAAGGGACCTGCCATGGGCTGGACAAAGCCCCTCCATGGGCCACATCCAGCCCATGGGCTATATTTTGCACACCCCTGGTATGCACATTCATTAATGTGCTTTTCCTAATGCACATTAAATTTAGTACCTCCTTTGTAAGGTACTAGAAAAAGGCACATTAGCCTATTTTAATGCACATTAACAAAAGCAAACTTTTTTTGTGACACTTAATGTGCATTAAAATAGGCTAATGTGCATTAAAGTGCATGTGTAGATATGCTCACACACTCATAAGCCAAGGCCAAACCATGGGTCAAACTCAGACTGGGAGATAAAAAAATGTATCAGGTCATGTATGTATGTATGTGTATATACACACATTGTTTAATGCATACACATATATCAATTATTTAGTTGGTGCATTAGCTGAACACATTTTTCCTTGGATCATTTTCTTCTATACTAGGAGGGGCTGTTGGAAGAACTATATCACCAAACATTTTCTAGTGTATACAAGTCTTTGTAGT